ATTAACAGGGTACCACGCAGCCCCGTTAGTTATTCCGTTTGGAAAGCGTTCCTCGAGTACACTTTGCATGTTTAGTCGTGTATTTGAAATTGGAGGGCATGGTTCTCCAAGATGCATACGAGGGTGAGCATTCGAGTATGCTAATGCTAATGCTCTAAAAACTTTATCATCTGGACTTTTATTTGGAGCAATAGATGCAGTTTGTGGTCCGTTATCATATGGATAATTTGCTACTAATGCTCCTCCATGGAAATTAGCAGACAATACAAATGGAATTTTTGCAATCCAATCCATCACTGCTTTTGTTTCAGGTTCTTGCTGTCTATTGTACTGAAATATAGAGAATGCAAATGATGTATGAAGGCAAATTTGTTTAATGTATTAAAGATTAAAATAATTAATAAATTCAAATTCGTACATTATTTGTTTCATATTGATCAGGAAAATTTCTATTGAGATCAACACCCTTGGCATTCGCTCTCCCCCGTTCTCCATATACGTCTCCTTCTATAGAAAGTTCATAGCCATCAGGATTCATACTTGGTAATACATGCAATCTGACATTCTTAAGTATGTTTGTCACTCTGTCGTTACTTTCATAATTTTCACAGAGATATCTTAATAACAATAATAACATTTCTCTGCCAACCACTTCGTTTCCATGCATATTTCCTATATATTTTACTTCCGGTTTATTTTGACTATGTACTCCAGGATTTTCTGTTATTTCCATTACATACAATTGTCGTCCTTTAACAGACTCTCCTATACTATATAGTCTTGTAATATTTGGATACTTTGCATTCAGTTCCTTCAGATATGTTTCCATAGCTATGTAATTATGATGTTTGAATGTTGCATTGTGAAAAAATCCATATTCATCTATAGGTCTTATAATTTCTATAACTTGATCTAAATTAAATTTTCCTATATGGAAACAAACATTGTTACAAAGAAGGAAAATAAATAATATTAATATTAAAATTAACACTAACATGCTGTATAATATAATTATTAGTGTAGAAATAAAAGTACATTTACTATAGGTACAAATACACTTGAAAGAAAGATAGAAATAAATTATAAAAACCACGGAATTAAAATTATAAAACATTAATTACAACACAAGGTACAGAGAAAATAAAAACTTCACAAATAAAAAAGACAACAAAATATATCATTAAAAATTGTGCTACTTGATGGGTACAAACGTATAGGTGAGGAAGGCTGGAAAATATTTAAGTAAACCAACTCGCTGTTTGAGGCAAATATAATATTTATTTTAAATTCCAAATATTATACATTTAGTTCAAATATGTAATACTATACATCAAATTACAAATATAAACGTAAGCATCACTCTGTTTTACATCATTCTGACACTGTTAATAAAATTACACAATAGCTGTTTGTATAACATGTATAACATTGTACTAAAAATGTTTGGAAATTTCATACATTTCTCCATTATTATTAATATAGAAATTTATTTAATTAAATTGTATAAAAACATATTCAATAAAAATGCTACAAAATCCGTATAAAAAAAAAGATGTCCTTTTTTCTTTTAATGTAAAAGATATAGGTTATAAATCAGAGAGCATTCAAATAAAAAATAAATCACAGTTTACAATTTGTTGTATAACTTACAAATTGGTATGATTAAAACCCTAATATCCATGTTATACAAAGTATCTAAACCCAATATTAAAAAATACTGTAAATTCAACGTATTACATGAGATGTGATATATGAATACTTAATAAATTTCATGTCGGAAATTTGTATTCGTCATATTTGATTTAAAACATATAATAAATGATTTTTTCAATTAAATTGCAATAAATGTAAAAGCAAAAAACAAATACTACAGAAAAAGCTGGAAAATTCGTGTCATTTATAATTTAATTCTGTGGTTTAAATACTTTGTTTATAAATCAGATTACAAATTTCGATATAGTTTTTCTCCATACCTTGTGTGTATTTTTCTATGCTTGTTTGTGCTAATAAAAATAGACACTGTGGTAAAATGAATGGGCATGACAGGTAGTATCAAATATTCTGGTGTTACTATATTATCGTATCAGTGCTGTAAAATGAAAATAATAATATATGATAGACTAAACACAAAAGATTAATTTGCAAAAGTAATGATAAATTTAAATATAAATGCTTAAAAAAAAAAGAATAATGAAACTCAATTTAATAAAAAATTGTTTTAAATTAAATAACGAAAGAATTGATATTTTGTATGAATTTGATTAAACATTGTTAGTAATTCATATCATAGTAAAGGAGAATTAATTTGTAAAGCGACGGGTATCGCTTGAGAAGTGGTGGCATACGAGGAAAATCTATGACTTGATTACCTTGGTCTTCAAAGGAATCCTGTTTTAAAGTAAAATTGACAATGGTTGGTTTGCCAGGTTCTACTGTAACATTTATTGGTTCACTTGGTTGATATCTAGAATTAAGAAAGAAATATATATATATATAAAAAATGTTTTATTCGATTACTGTCTCTGTAATAATATAATGTTGAATACATTTATTTTGATATTATATTCATTACCAAAGCAGACTCACCCCCATGCTTCTGCACGAATAAAGTAAGTTCCAGGCAATAACAAACGCCAGTATTCTCCACGGGGCGTGGTTGAAATATTATGATCTATACCATCAACAACAATAGAAGCTGCTTCTACTGGTTGACCGTCTATGTCTCTTACAACTCCTAGAAGTATAATCATCAAGTAATTAATGATATTTGTCTCTTAGATGGCAACGCGATTATTGTTGTAAATCCTGCAAATGTGGTCAGGGATTAATAAATATTTAATAACCTTTCACTCCAATGTGTGCTTGCTCAAGATATTTTATAAGAGATTCCTTATTTAATATCCAATGCTCTGACATTGTTGAAGCATTTGGATATTTACAACAGCTAAGTTCAAATGTTATCTCAAATGCATTAGAGCGAGCATAATTAAAATCTTGCATTCCTCCGACAACTTCATACCTACAATGCATATACTTAGATATATAATATTCTTTTCATCAATGATGATTCTTATAAGTTACAGATCAAAGTATTTGTGCTCACCAATATGCTCCATTTGTAACACCATCACGGAAAATGTCTAAAGGACAAGCATTGCCTGCATGCATTTGTGGATGATTATCTGCATATGTGTGAGCTAAATATTTGAACAGTTCATCATCTGGACTTTTACTTTCAATGCAGCAACTTCTTGTAATTCTAAGGAAAAATATTTATATTTACAACTGTTATATAAATTTATAATAAGATTAAGTACATCAGAATTTCATCAAGCTATTACCCAGAATCATATGGATAACTTGCTACAACAGCACCTCCATGAAGATTTCCTGATAATACAAATGGTTCTGTAGTGATCCATGTCATCATAGATATAGTTTCATTTTGACGTCCATCTAATATACTACTGCCCTTTTGTAGTTGATTGGTCCTTTTGTCAAACTGATCAGGAAAATCTCTATTTAAATCAATATGATTTGCATTTTCACGTCCTGAAAAATCTTTTTTTGACTCGCATTTTCCTTCCTAACAAGCAAAATATCAAATCATTACATATAAATATATAAATAAAAAGTATAAAAGAACAAACTGAAAGTATTACTTCTGATTTTTCAAAACCATCTGGATTCATAGATGGCATAAGGAAGATATCGGTATTGTTCACTAACTTTGTAACTCTTTCATCTTTTCCATAATTGCGTAGGAGATATTGGCCAAGATAAATTAATAATTCTCTGCCTACAGCTTCATCACCATGCATATTGGCAACATATTTCACCATTGGTTCACCTAGCTTTCGCTCTCTAACATTTTCTGAGATTTCAAGAACCAACAAATCTCTGCCTTCCACAGATTTTCCTATAGAGAACACTCTTGCCAAATTAGGATACTTTTCGGCCAACAAATTGAACAACTGTTTGAGTTCCTCATAATGTGTGTAATGTGGAGTAATAAAATCATCCTCCAACTTTTCCTCAGTATTTAGAGCAAAACCATAAATAATCCCAATGAAGGAGCAAACAACCAGCACAATATTATACATAATAACTGTCCGCACCATATTTAAAAATGTATTTGTGCACTAGCGTGATAAAATGTTCAACTTCAACAGAACATTCTGCACTATCCAATATATGTATACACAATGATATACAACGTCAATATAGCATACTGATGACGTCCGCAAGTATCTATATACGAAGTTGGATAGAGTAGGGAGAGATATTACAATAAACGATGATAAACCATCATGTCAAGTCACCTCTTTCGCCGCATCCAACCGCATCGTTCCATACGGGCAAACAAAGAATTGTTTTGTTTTCTTTCTTTGAAAACAATACTCAATGTATTATAAATTATTGTTCATTTATTGAAAAATTTGTGAAATAGTTTAAAACAGATTTTCCACTATCCAATATATTGTAAATGATTATGATACAACAGAAACTGTTTGAAATAAACATTATTCTCATATTACTTATTGAATCTATATTTAATTAGGGCACAGAGCCCTGGTAATACGATACTGTCAGAAAGATACTGGTGACGCCATCGATGGTAAAATGGCAAAGTTTGTAGTGAAAATATTTTCTACTTTTACCGCTAGATAACGCCATTGCTATCTTTTAATAAATTATTTTTATTTGTAATCAATGCATAACAAAAACAATTCCTTGCTTTATAACACTACAATGTATAGATTAATTGATCCTTTTTATGCATAGTTATTTCATTCTGCTATAATTTTCAACCTTTTACTTGGTGGCGCCATCTGCCGGTTACAGCGAGAACTATTTTCACTACAAGCTTGGGCACTGTGCCATCGATGGCGCTACTAACTAAACGGTCGATAATAATATTTTTAATTAAATAAAGCTGCCTAGAAATGATAAATTTGATTTATTAACTAGTCTATTGTAGTGTTATAAAGCAGGGAATAGTATTAATCATTAAGCATTAAAATAATAATTTATTTAAATGTATCAGTAGTGCCATCTAGCGGAAACTGTGAAAACTATTTTCACTACAAACTTGGGCGTTCTGCCATCGACGACGCCACTAGTACTTTTGTTTTTGTTTATTTTTTTAAGCGAATAACTTCACTACTATGTGTTTCCTATTTTCCAATTTTTCTCTTTTTCTTTTAATATCTTTTATTTTTCCATTGCTTTTCTTATGCCATATAGGCTTTTCGATACTTGTATTTGTAGCCGGCCTCAACCCAACCATAAAATGTTGGGGCGGACGGCCGGGATTCGAACTTGGGCTCTCAGCGTGTGGTAGTGGTGGTAGTCGGCTACGTTACTCATTGTTCCACTGTCCGCCCCAAACTCACTAGTATTATACTAAACCCCCTTCACTGAGCGGCTTAGTGAGCGATAACTTTTCTCGATGAAGCCTTTGTAATTCAGATGCATGCTTGTTTACTAATGTTTCATGTTCTTTAGCATAAAATTGTATTTTATATTTTAATTTCAATACGCATTGAAATCATCGATTTCTGTTTAAAAAACATATAAATATGCTTAGTAAGAAAGAGGAAAAACAGTAAGTTAAATTATATATCAAATATAATTAACTGTACACAAAATTCACTATTTATGTAAAGTAAAGAATCGAAACAATTTCAGGTATGGTTTAATTTTACCTAAAAAGCAACAACCTATAACACCAAAAGCCAGCAATATATTTGCAGATGACGATTCAGATGAAGAAGATGCTACCCATGTCATTAAAAAAGTTCTTAAGGCAGAGGAAGCAAAAAATAAAATTAAAAAACAAACCAGGTTAAATATGCAAAAGGCTTTAAAGGAGGACCCAACAATATACCAATACGATGAAGTGTATGATGACATGGAGCGAACAAAAAGCCTGTTAAAAGAAGCTAAGGATGAAAAGAAGAAACCAAAATATATTCAAAATCTCCTGGTGGCTGCTGAACGAAGAAAAAGAGAACAAGAACACAGAATAGAAAGGATGGTACAAAAAGAGCGGGAAGCTGAAGGAGCAATGTATGCAGACAAAGAAAGTTTTGTCACTTCTGCTTATAGAGCAAAATTAGAAGAATTTAAACAACTGGAAGAAGAAGAATCTAGAATGGATCGACTAGAATCTATTGCAGATGTTAGGAAACAACAGGATATGTCAGGATTCTATAGACATTTATATGAACAGACTGTCAAAAATCCAGAAGAATCAGAAAACACAGATAATACACATGAAGGTAAAACCACCGAACTAGAAAGTGTGAATAAAAATACAAATACAATTGCATCAAATATAGAGCAAATTTCAACTAAAAATACAAAAAAGAGTAGACAATATAGACAGAGAATAATGGAAGAAGACAGTGATACAGATAGTGAAATTCCACAGAGGGTAGAAAGTAAAACAAAAGTTTCTATACCTGAAATACATAAAAACGTTGAAATGGAAGATGTAGTAGAATCTAATAGTAAAAAATCAAAGGAAGAAGTTGCAGGTTCTGAGCCTAGTGAAACACTAAACACAATTGCAATAGAAGATACTTCAAATAGGCAAAATGTTCAAGATGTCCCAGAAAATTGTGAAAATGATAGTAAAGTAAATGGACCTAAAATTACTGCAAAAGCAAAGATAGAGGCAGAAAAAAAAGAAAGATCTAAAATTTGGGAAAAAAGAACAGTTGGTCCTGTATTTGAAGCAGCATTACAACGATATTATGCAAGAAAGTCTTTGAGATTATCCACTACATAGTTGATTTAAAATAGGATTTAATTAATTTTATTATTCCTTTATAATTGTATTTAAAGTGTAGGGTATACATATTTTTATTACAATATTTGCACTGTATAAATTAAAAAATATGTAAAAGATTTAGTATTAATATATTAATGAATTGTATTAGTACAATCCATTCTGTACAAATGTGTATAATCAATGTAAGTGAACTGTTGTAAAGTAATTGTATAAATTTGAAATTACAATAAATATAATGTAATGTTAGATTGTTACTATAGTACACATGATTGCTTTCTATAACATTAGTATCTGTATGCTGATAAAATTTTGTATAAATATAAATACTTTTTATCAGTCTTTGAGCTATTTTAAGTACTGTAGAAATATTTTGATTACTTAATGGAAATCGTACTTTGAAAATGCTTGTAGGATTTTTTATAAAATATAGTATTACTATTTTTGTGACTTATACGAATAAATAAAAGTATACTATTTTTACATTGCTTACTCTCTAAACGATATTAAAATTAAACAATATAAATGTTCGTTTTATACAAATTTTTATTTTACCTAGACGAAATTAACTGTGGCTTCATATGTCCGGTATCACCATAAGTTAATAATGTTACTTTGCCACTAGGATAAACAGATATCCATGTAATACTTGCATGATTTAAACATAGACGCATCCAACCTTCGGGTGGAAATTGCAATGCTCTGAAAGCAATACAAGTTTGAGACATTACATTTACCCATTAATATACTAATAATATGTAAAAAATGTAATTTACCTGCATACAAAATATCTAATAACATTTGCATGACAAACAATAATGGTGTAAGAATCTTTTTCTTGGCTGGGATCGGCACGATGAAAATATTTTCTAAATGCAGCTTCTATCCTGGGTCCATCTTCGTAAAACTAAAATATATTAATGATACATAATATTATTTTATGTACACAAAATACCAAATTTTTTAAATACATAAAACATTTTATATAATATACTGACATGTATTTCTGACTTCCAATGACCAATTGGTGGTTCAGGTGGTATGGGTGCACCTTCAGTAAGGATCGAATCATCTTTTACAGCTACATTTCTAATACTTCCTTCTATAATTTTAGAAGTTTCTTGAGCTCGAGTCATTGTGGATCTTACAATCTGAGTATATGGAAAACCTAACTCTTGTAATCTTTTTCCTGTTGCCTCAGCCTGTCTTCTACCTTTATATCGTTATAAAAATTGTATCATTGCAAAATTCCTTTGTAAAATATTAATTAGATAAAACGTTATCGCAGTTCTTCTAGTATAAAAGAAATTGTATTTATAAGAAACACTAACCGAGATCTGTAAGTGTTCTATCAGAATCTGTTTTGCCCTCAATATTATATTGTCCATGACGAATTAAAAGTATATGACGAATGGCTTTAGCTTTTTTTGTTGATATTTCATTATTGTATACATTTTCATCTGATTCGCTTTTTATTTTCATCGGCTTCACTAAACTTTTTGGATCTCTTCTATAAACATAAGTATATACAAAACACATAAAAAATTAATGAATATGTTTTTCAAATGTATTGTAAAAGCAGCGAAAGTTTTTATCAATGATAATGATAAAGAGTATAACCTATCCCAATTATGATCCCACTTAACCGAGGGGGTTACGTTTGTTGTCCAGGAATTGTGCACCTGTAGAAATTCTTTGTTACTGTTGCCATACATATTCCAATAAAATAACGTCGCACCTCCTAACGCACCAAGCCCAGTAGCCCATTTTTTTAAACTTGAAATTATAGGCATTATTACAGCAAGTAAAGTTACCACGGCTGGGCTGAACAAGTAACAGTACTATTCGTACTCGACTACTCAATCATTCAAATACTGCGATTTTTCATATATCAGTGGGTTTAAAACAAGTTCCCTAGTATTTCGTCTTCTTTGTTCTCCTATATTATTTTATTGCAACGATCTCATTGAATGACATTTTAATTTATACTTCGTTATTCAAATATCCGAAAGTTTTTTTTGCATTATGCAAAGTATAACGTGTACACGTTTGTAGTTATTTATTGCGAGTTCAATTTAAAAACGAAGGTGATCAGAATCTTATTGGTCCACTGTATCGAAATATCGTTCTAACCAGGGACGTATTATAGAAACATCTAGACAAACGTTAAAAAAGGCCAACTGCAACTGAACTAACAAAATTATTATTTATATTATATATGTATCAATATATTTATAAGTATTTGTGCTTAGTCTAACAAAAATAACAGACTTGTAAATAGAACCACCTGACTTACATCCTTACATGTGATAAAAGGAAACGGAAGGACGATTGTACATAAATAGATAAGAAATAAGACTAGAGAAAATGTATAAAAAAGTTAACTCGAGTGAAACAGATAACAATATATTTATGCATCGAACATACGACACGCTCCTGGCCGAAAACTCAGCGAACCAATCAACTCTTGTCGCAAGTCACGTGATTTTATATATACAATTTTCAAAATTTTAACTTTTCAAAGCTATGCGACGATCTGAACTGTTATCATTTTTGACCAAACCATCTTAATTTATTGATGACTATTACTTAAAATACATTTATATACCATATACACAATGTTAAATAGAATTCTATTATCTTTAATGAGTTACTTTTAATCATGTATCTAGGACAACGTTTGCAATTCTTATTGATATGAATCCTGTAAAAGATTACCATCTTTATCTTTAAGGCGTATTCTACCATTTGAATACCGTGTTTCTTGAATACCATCAGGATAGATGAGTTTAACAGTACCATCAGGATATTCTCGTCTCTACAATACATGAAATCAGCATTAAAAATACCCATAAAAATACATGCATATGTCTACATATTGTTATTTATTACCTTATGAGCTTTAGTATGTATTTCTCGTTGTCCATTTGGTAACGTAAGAATTTTTTCGCCATTAGTAAAAGTTTGAATTAATGTCCCATTCGGTAACGTCCAGTTTTCTGTACCATCTGATTCTAAAATTCGAACTGAACCATCTGGAAACGATACTTCTACTGTACCACTATGCAATCGTTTCTCTACTTGACCACTGTATAATAATATAAAATATTATTTTACATAGCGAAATACCGGACATTACAGTAAATATATGAACATAAATGTAGGAGCTTACTCGGCAAATTCTAAAATCTCTAAGCCATCCGGCATTGTTGTATGCCACGTACGAGTCGATGCATAGTAATACTTTACTTGTCCATTTTTATTAGTTTCACGAACATCTCCATTGTAATATATCAACTTTGTTAAACCTTGATCAGGAAGGACTTTTTTAACATTTCCATTTGGATACCAATATTCAATACGTCCATCAGGATGTTGAATCTGTCTTACACCTTGTTTATCAATATTAGAACTACTTTGGGAAGATATATTTGTCACATATCCACTTGATAATATTTCATCAGATGATGTTGACTTTTGATTGTGATCTTCATGAGACATTGTAGTAGGAGATACGAAATGTGCATTTTCATTTTGTACAAGTGATTGAATATTGCTATTCGTGTTGGTATCATTAGAAGGTGGAACATCAATGTATATATTTGATTTTTCAGAACCATTATCTATACTATTTATATTTTTTAACTTATTACTTAAACCAGATATAGACTCAGTTACATTTTCTGAAGTACAAGGTTGTTCTTGAACGCCTGTTAAATCAAACGTAGCTTCTTTAATTAGATTTTTATATAAATTACGTTTTTTAGCAACATTTACCATACCTGATTGATATTTCTGTAATTTTTCATTTATGTCGGTTTCATAACAATCATCTATACTTTGAGTATCAATCATACCAGTTGCATTCATCATTGATTTTATCAACTTATGATCACTATCATCTGGTGAATTATTGTTAGTATTGTTACTTTCTTTAAACTCTACATTTAGCTTTTTATTAATCTGATGTATTGCCTTAGTGTTTGAAAAAGTTCCGGGTTTTCCTTTATTTCTAACATTACCTTTCTTCAAATTTTGTAGTCTCTCAATTTCTTGTTTCAACGTTAAATTTTCCATTTTTAATATTCTCACTTGACACTTGTGTCTGGATTGTGCAGCAGTCCATCTTCTTTCTTTTATACATACTTCATCCTTTAATTTTTCTAATTCTTGTCTCAAATTTTGTATCTCTTGTCTCTCTAATTTACTTTGTTGAGCTTTCCCTTGTGCATCCCGCATTCTATTTTCCAATGCAGCTTTTTCACGAATTAGTTTTCTTCTATCTTCTTGTAAACGATCTTCTGCTTGTTTTATACTTTCTTCTAAGGCTTTTTCCTTTTCTGAATATTCCTTATGTAAAGTTTTCTGATCTTCTTGTAATTTTTTTCGTTGAACAGTTAAAGCTGCGTTTTCTTTACGAAATATATTAATCTCTTGTTCAAGCTCCAGTAGACGATTTTTTAAAAGTTCCGATTTGAATATGGTTTCGTTCGTTTCTTGAAAAGTTTTTACAATTTCTTGATCTTCGGTTACAGCTATATTATTACAATTATCTACTTCTCTACTGTTATACTCTTCTATGCATTTCCTTGATGTTTCAATACAATGAAAATTATTAGCATTCGGTGGTGTTACGTTTTTTTCATTGTATTCATCTAAAATACTCTGTTCATCATCGGGTGATTGATCAATAGTGTCTGAAAATTCTGCTTCATTGTTGTGTATCGCTATTGGTGACTGTGGTACCTCCAATGCCATTGGCATTATTTCTGTGTCAGATACTTCCGAAGTTAAAGGATCGCTCCATGCATTTTCATCACAGAAATTTTGTATTGTCAATGACTCGGTTGATATACTAGATGAATCTGTTAATCCAATAGTTTTGTACTCGTTATATTCAGAAAACCTAACATGAAGACTAACGTCTACATCATTCTGAGCATTAGGAACATCGTAACAGTTTTGTTCGTTGTGTGCTGATTGAACTTGATCTTTTAGCAAAGTATTTTCTTTACCATCTAATAAAGGAGTTATACTTTTATGTGTACTATATGCCATTTTATTATTCTTCATTAAAGATGAGTGTAACTCTTTTTGAGTCATAAGTGGTTTTAGATCGCAATAAGAGTTGTTGCTTTTATTAGAAGTTGTACATATGTAAGCATGATTGGACTTTAAAACTGACTGACTTTTTGGACTTTTAATTACTGGACTAGTATGTTGTTGTATATTAACTATACGATTTCCTGTACTAAAACTCCCTTTTTTCTTTTTAAATGGTGTTGACTGTTGTAGAAATGCAACAACTGTACTAGATGTAGAACAGAAGCTAGAATTCTCTGCTTTTTCTTCTAGCAATTCAAATATTCTTACTTCCTCCATTTCTTCTTGTGTTCCTGAATGAGTAGCTGAAGTATTCAATTCAACTTTACTTTTGACTTTGTTAATATAATTTTCCGACTGTTTAATCGAAGCGCTAGACTCAGACTTGCTACGAATTTTCTTTTTTGGTAATGGAACATTCTTTAAACATAATTGTCTTTGTGGTGAATTTGTATAGTGTGTATTTCTCGAAGATCCAGTAGTATTATTATATCTAGGTTTGATTGTAGAATGCTTAGAATTAGATTGCGTACTAGTAGAAAATGATGCACTGCGTGATCTACTTTTTATCCTAGGTAATAGTGACTCTCTATTTAATTTAAATCTGGACAAACCTTCTCCTTTCTTTAAAAATGGTCTTTTTACTTTACATACTGAATTATTATTAGGCCTTTCACAAGATATATTTCCGCAGTCTTTTAATCTTTCTTCAAGTAATGTGTTGAAATCTTTTTTTGGAGAAGGAACTGGTATATCATCAATGCAAATATTCTTAATCGGTGTTTTATTAGATGGTAATGGTGCCACTCCATCTATGATAAATTCCTCTATTCTTTTCCCATGTCTTGGAGAAAGTAATGTTAAACTTGTGTCAGTTTTCACATCAAACATTACCTTACCTATGGATTGTTCATTTGCATAACTATCAATACTAATTACTTCTTCCTGTGATTCTTTCTTAGATAACTGTTGTTGAAAAAATGATTCATTATTATTTATCAATTCTGCATGGTTCTCTCCCTTTTGTGATTCATTATGAACCCTAATTAAATCTTCATCGTCAGTCTCTCCAGTGATTTCAGTTTTATTTGAATTATTTGTATGCTCTACAGTTTCATCCAGATCAAGTTCTTGCAATGATAGTTCAAGTGCTTTATACATAGAGTCTTGCTTTTGAGTTAACAAATCTCTTTGCATCTGTTGCTGTTTCATTAGTCGTTCTTGTTGCTCCAATTGCCATTCTCTTAATTTTTGTAATCGTTCAAAGATGGTTGCTTCTACATTCATTTTTTTTTTTTTTTGTAGTAATACGTTACATGTAACAAACTTTATGTGTATAGTATTAAACTGAATGAAATGTATATATGTACAAAACGATTAAAGAATCTTTATGTTTTTGAAAACTAATCTATGCACATATATGCATGTAGATACAAGTATAAATGTAAAGTATACTGCAACATTAAGAAAATACAGTTTTATAAATACCTTTTTTAACTTATTTTAGTATTTCTTCAACTCATATTAAAATATTCTTTTTCTTTATCAAGTCTTAAAATTCATTTGAAACATTCATGTCTGGAGTCATTGGTTAAAATTGTACAAATCGACTCAATTAAGGTATTCCAATTTTTCCAATTAATACAAGAGACACTTGTTCTTTGTTGTTCTCCAACTAAACCGTTTGACAGTTCAAAAATGACATATACATTACAAAGGATTTACCCAACTAAACCTGGCTGCGAACAATACACCGATTGGTTACTGATAAAAACGCCAACCAATGATAACATTACATAAAGACACGTGGTTATACGTTACATTTGAAAAAGTAAGGTTATACCCTTCAAATAATTGAATTTATAATACATATTTTTATACATATATTACTTTTATTTTGTTACAAGTTTATTTATTTCATGATATGTAATGGTCTTTTATTTATTACACAATAGCATTTTAAAACATTAATTTCATTTTATTATGTAAAAAGTGACACAACTAATTTGTCTTATACATTTTTTGTTGCAAATTACAATTGCATAGAAAGCAAAAGGATCTTAAAAATTTAAGTTAACATTCCTTTGCGAAACTGATTCATTTTTGTATAGTGTATATATTTAATTCAATGCATATCTGACAAGTTCCCTACATTCGAGTGCTATTAAGTAAATGCGATAGGATTAAAATATCTTAATTTAAACAAAATCGTAAATGTAAAAGAATAAAGTAACTATGAAATCGGACCATTAATGTAATCCGTTCGATACATTATCTCGCAACAATCAATTATGTATTCGATTGTTAAATACCATGCATATTTCAGAGTATTGTATAAAAGAATTAATGATTTCCTTCAAAAAAATATGTGAAGGTGATATCAGTTCATAAATTGTTCAATCAATGTTTTTTATAACATAGTCAACTATAACATTCTATCAACAAGTAATACAACGTTTAGACTATAGAATTTAATTTTATTAGAATGATATTATGCATAGTATAAGGTCGTAATACTTTCTAAAAAATATACTTGTGTATTTACTGAAATACTTCATTGTATAACTAATATAATTATTCGTTAATAATTCATTGAAATGTACAACTCAATGATAAGTATTTCAGAAATCGACTTCGTAACGAATTCATCAATAATACCAACAGTTATATTATGGACAAAAATTATCAATAAAAATACATTCACCGTTAATTTATAAATTCATGCAGTTGAATGTCAAATTTCTTCTATTAAACAAGACATCTAAACAAATATTATACTACAATTATAAATGTCTTTACTGAGTGCAATTGTTTCGTTAGTATTTTTAAAACATTTATAATGTACTACATAAATTTATTAAACACGAAAAGCAATATTTAATGTAAATAAGATATGTTGATGGACTGCTTTCAAGTAGAATTCTACTATGTGTTTTAAAAATAACATACTCCTTCAAGTGGTTAGTTGTGAAAAGATTAGTCGGTCACTATGCGACGGTATTTTCTATTAGGCGGGAACACTTCCTCGTCTTCATCTTTATCAGCAGAAAGAAAAGGATCGTCGTAAGCATAGTTTGGCGCCCATTTTAGCAAGAGTTTCTCAAAAAATTCTTCTAAATTACGAGCTTCTTGGTACACTTGTGATTCAACCTAAATAGAAGAAAATTACGCGTGTAAATAATCTTGTCGGTGTAAATATTAAACATAATTATGAGCTTTATAACAAAACTTACTGGGTTGTATGTAAAAGCATTCTTGAACATTAATCTGATGTCCGCCATAACTTGCCTTAAATCCGTGTAATGATTCGGGTGCTCAGGCTTTAATTTATCTCTAATTACGTCTAATGCAATTGGTTTCTTTATAATACGATGATAATCAACTATCTATTAATAACAAATGAAATAATTAATTACTTTTGTATTTCTTAAATTTTTAACACGTGTAAATATATTCTGTATGATAAACTTACTTCGTTAGAAACAACTTCACGGAAAGGTAAACTTTGCTCGTGTTGACAATAAAGTTCCAGCACAATTCTTTGTGCGATTCGTAACTCTTTCATACTCATTGTGTTTGGCCTTTTTTCTCCTAATGATTCGTCTGAGCAATCGAGTACGTTTGTACATAACATACATTGCCAAGTTTCGCTTTCACTAATAAACAAAAAAAATGTTTATTATAATATTTACAATTAGAGAACATATTTCATGTAAATTATACTCTTTCTTTACTTACTCGGGGAACGATTTTAAGCTAGGAATATGACAATATAAGTGGAAGACTTTTGGGCATTTATCACAACAAAGTACTGCATCTCCTCCATCCATGCATACTGCACACCAGTCCTCGTTAGGATCATCCTTTGTCATGGATGCTGCAGCATTTTTTGAATTATCTAGTGAACATATAATTATGTACGTGCATTTATCACTTTAGCATTATCTATCATAGTTCTTCTAAAAATATTTGAGGTATTAATTACATATTAGCACTAGAAAATTAATTTAGAACGTTTAGAATAGCGCGAATCACTAATTATTTATTTAAGATATTATAGTACCTGATGAATTTTCAGCCATTGGATTCATTCCCTCATCGGTTGAACTATCTACTTGAGCAGAATCCAATTGATTTCGTTGGGCTTCTGGTATTACTACGATTCCATTACTATCTAATTTTGCAATAGTAAGCATTAAATCGTTTAAAGATTTTTGGCAAAACTTGTCCAAACTCTTTTCTGTTTCATCCGATTTTCCAGGAGGCACAGGACTAGGTGTTTTAGGTACCGATGAGCTGACTGTATGACCAACGGATACAGAACTTTGCGATTGGGGTGGATTATCGGGAGCAGTATTTGTTTGTGTATTGTATTTTTGATTGACGTTTGATTGTTGATTTTTTAGTGTTATTTTATAAGTATCATTGATAGGAACTGGCATTGGAGGAGTGGGTTGATGGCGAGAAGGATAATAAGGAAGACAGGGATTAACATTTTGGGGTATGTGCCAACGAGCTGTACCGGGTTGCGGCACAGGATAATTTAAATGCTGCGCAGACGGAGAACCTGGATTACATTGTTGAAGTCTTATTCCAGATACCATAGATGTATTTGTCGGTTGATACGGATGTTGCGGTCCCGGTCGTTGAGAATTACTCGAAGGATACCTATAGGGTGGCAACCGATATGGTACATGATTTGTAGAAGGTCGGTAGGGAGGAGGATTATGTGCAAGAAGCCCACGTAAACTTGTATTTTGTCCAAGTTGATCTATATGAACTTGCTGATGAGGATGCGTAGATGACGTTACTTGTTGATGACAACTTCCCAATGGACGTTGCTGCATCATTAATGGTTGCTGTAGTCTACTGTTAAAGTTAACTGTGTATGGCACACGTGGTTGATGTGCCTGTGGTTGATGTCCCTGCGGTGACGATCGAGGCGGCATATTAGTCATAGTATAATGTTGCATGTAATTTTGCGATTGCGCTTGTTGCTGTTGCTGCGCTTGCTGCTGCTGCTGCGATTGTTGCTGCTGCTGTTGTTGTGGCACGGTTTGTTGTTGTTGAGGCGTTAAATGAAGAGGCACTTGTTGATAGGAATTTTGTTGTATATTATTTGATTGCTGCGTCGTAGGAGGTATTTGTGCAGTTATGGGAGAACCATCCATGGGCGCATTTGATAAATTAGTTGTTTGTTTCTGATCTGATTGAGATTCATTGTACGACATAGATGGTGTACTTATCCCAGCCAATGGAGAAATCGAAGGATATACTCTACCATCCACAACTATGGCTCCAATTGATGAGACCACTAAAAAATTAAAAAGAAATATTTAATTTTATAAAATGCGTTATTGCATTATTACGATTAAGAGAATAAACTAATCCTAATTTATAGGAATACCATAAAATTCCTATATTGAATAACATAATTAAGCACCTATTTATATTAATTTAACCTTTTATCAAATCTGGTACTTTTTCCAAAGATAAATGTATTCTAACAGGTATTTCTGGGTTTGGAATGTCAGCTCGTCTGCTCTTTATTCTTTGCAAATGACTCGTAACAGATCTGTAAATACACCATTGTAAAATAAATTGCAAACACGTTAACATTATCATAACTGAAACTAAATACATACTTTTTACTGTAAAGTAATTCCATGTCTGAACCCTTCTTTAAGGCATGAGTCACAAATTGGATGCAATGATCTGTAAGCTTTGATAATTGGTCTAAAGCAACTTTTTTCTCATTAAGTGTGTTTTGCTTTTGATCGCACACTTCGTTCAAGCGCATAACTAATTGCTTTCCCCGTGTATTAATTGCGTTTGTTAACCTGCAGAACAAAGTTTCATAAATCAAGCGAGACTGCTTGATTGTTGGACAACTTTGTATATAAAGCTAACAACTACTTACTGCACCACCATTTGCGTTATATCTTGTACTAAATTTTTTTTCTTTTCCAGAATAAGAACTTGCCTATCTTCTATAACTTTCATTGCGCTTTTTAATAAAACTCGTTTGTAACTAAACACACAAATACATTGAAATTTAAAGATAAATGGTATCGGTATTTGAAAGCGAAATTAATAAGAATAAAATAAAAAGGTAGTACAATTACCTGACTTCTTTAAGTAAAGTTGATACAGAAGCACGTGTTTCGGCAGCAATTTCATGAATAAATTTGTACTTATGATCTCTATGTTCGCTTAACTGACAGTCCCTACAAGTAAGTTTATCACATGTTTGACAAAATAAAGACAACTGTTCGTGTGAATGAATTATACAAAATAAATAGCCAGGTATCTTTTTGTTGTTTTTTTTAACATTATCTCTATCATTGGCAACTTCATCCTTTGGTTTAATAGTATGATCCTTTGTTATTTTTAATCTTTGATGTGCCTTAAAGAATAAAAAATTCAAAATAATTCCTAATTACTTGTCAAAGATAACAAATATATAATAATATCATAGTTTGTTTACCATAACACAGTTCTGACAGATAAATTCTTCGCACTCTACACACCAACTGGTAGCATTAGCATTATCATGACAGCTGGTACACTTCTTTTCTTCTTCTGTTTCTTTAGATTCGTCGTCTGTACCTGGGCTACTATCTTCCTCTATAAATTTTGAGAGAAACCTGTTCTCTATTAAATTGTCTGCTTGAGTAGTAACATTACAAATTTGACAAGCAATAACATTGCTTTCCACTGTAACAATATATATGCACTTAAACTTTTATAAGGAAAATGAGACTGTTTAAAATAAACAGTTTGCTGGAAAGAATGAAAGAGTCTTTGTTCGTTTGTTTACAAGTAAAATACATATATAAAACCTTTTTTAAATATTATTATGTAAATACTAAAAGCGAAACTATTTCGATAGACTTACACAAAACATCCACGTCGACCGATGTATTGTGATCGCTCAGTTTACTGTTGACACATGCAGAACATGCTGCATGTAAACACTCGAGAAGTTTTGGTTCATCACCAAAAACGAATGTTTTTCCACAGAATACACATTTCGATAAAAATGTACGCGTTTCATTTTCCTGGCTCTCGGTTGTGCACTCGATACGTTGTTCACACTCTTCCTCAATGCAAACGCCCTGTACTTGAGATTGTGGCATCTCTTGCTTCGCGCCAGTTTGGTCGTGTGGTTCTTCTTTAACCGTTGCTATCGAGCCTGTTGTTAAAATCTCGTTTGTTCGTGTCTCCATGTTAAAAATATTCGAGCATAAATGGCTACACACAACAATTGTTTTTACAACTTATGAAAATATATTTTTCTTGAACTATGTAGCGCCATGGTACACTCCACCATGCTACATACTTTAATTTACTTTAATCACTCTAATTGTTCCAGTCTAGATGGGAAACCGAATAGTGGAACCAATGTTGCATATAGTGTCGCACTCTATAGTAAAAGGCTTGGTAGCTTTATTATTTACATGAAAATTGAACCATAGACTCAAAAAAGCGAACCTACGATCTCTATTTGGAAAATATTTATTATATCTAAATCTATACGAGAACAACTTTAATAAAAATTATGGTAGATACTTCTCATTAGATTTCGGTGAATTCATATTTCGCGTACATTTGGTTATATGTAAATGGAGAGTTGTAGCTATTTTGAGAATTCGCCATGAAATTTTTATTTTCACTGGTTCACGTGGCGTGTATACGGTGTATAACCATTAACCAGTATAACACTAACAGAACAGCCTAACATATAACACGGAAATTTGTAAATGTAGTCTACGATAAGAGGAAGTCACAGGCTATTTTGTATCTTTCAAACATGCATTTTAACAAGGAAAAGTTAATAGGTACATTAATTTAAATGAAAGTAACTGGCAATGTAAAAGGATCAATTGATAAAAGTTAATTAAATAGTTTACTTTATGATTTGTTCATGTATACAAGGCGGTTTGTGTATTTTTGTATTTATTGTAAATAATTGTACAACGAGTACCTAATTGATAAATAATTTACAGATAGTTTTACTCGAGACAGTGATGATATCGATGATAGTCAAGACAGTGATGATAGTGACGATAGTTGGGAGAGTGATGATAGTATGCAAGCAACCATAGGCAGTGACGATACTGTGCGCAATATCGATGACTCCGATTCAGAAAATGATAATGCCGAAGGTTCTAATTCAAATAATAATCAGGTTTCCACTTATGCCGGTATGTTTTACCTTTATATTTAATTATAAAATTCCAAAAAATCATTTCTTCGTCATGATTAAAGGTGCAGACACAGAACCAGCTCTGTTAAATGAAGATGAAGAAGAAGATGAAGTAGTAAAAGCAATAATTAGATCAAAAGATGCACATACAAATCATCCTCCACCTATTACAATAGAGGATCACGTAGTAGATATATGTTTTCATCCCAATTCAGATATGATTGCTGTGGCTAGTATCGTAGGAGATGTTTACTTGTAAATTTTACATTTACATATAGTATTATGCATAATTATGGATAATTTAATACATATATGAATTCTGTACATGCTAGGTACAAGTATAGCAATACAGAAACGGAACTTGTGTCTACTTTAGAATTACACCTTAAAGCATGTCGTGACATAGAGTTTAATGAAAGTGGTACAATTTTATTTTCGACTGCCAAAGATTTGTCTATAATGCTCACAGATGTAGAAACTGAGAAGTTAACAAGGTTATATGAAAATGCACACGAGTATGTATAACAAAAATACCTCTTTTAATAAAATATGGGCATTTGTTGTTTCTTTCTTGATAGTGTTTATATATGATTTACAATTAATTTACGTCTCAGGGAACCGATATACACAATGACTGTAATTGGAGCACACGTGTTTGCAACAGGCGATGATGATGGTGTAGTAAAATGTAAAAAAATTACATTTATTTTTATTTTTCCAATATTGTATTACAATATATTGTATTATTATGCCATAAATGTTTTCAGTATGGGATCTTAGACAAAGAGGAAATGCACCTGCATTTTCATTAAAAAAAATGGAAGATTATGTAAGTTCCATTGTAACAAACAGAGAAGCAAAGTATTTAGTATGTGCTAGTGGAGATGGATCTCTTACTACATTCAATATTCCAGGAAAAAAGATGCATGTACAGGTAAATGGCCATAAGTACTATATATTATTTAATTATGCACGTTTGTATAATAAACGTTTTCAACAGTCAGAAGAATACGAAGAGGAATTAACATGTCTCGGTATATTTAAAAATGAAACAAAGATTTTGGCGGGTACGAGTAAAGGAAAAATGTATGTATATAATTGGGGAGAATTTGGTCTCCACTCGGATGAGTTTCCAAATGTAACTAAGAAAGGCATAAATTGTATGGTTCCGATTACCGACAATGTTGTAATAACAGGAGGAGAAGATGGTATACTTAGGTAGGAAATAATCTAAATTTTTAGACAATGCTTCTAGTTTATTGTTTATTATATAATTTATTGTATTAAATAAACTAATGTGTATTTATTATGTTATTATGTAGGGCTACTAGCTTGTTTCCTCATCATCATCTTGGAGTAGCTGGACAACATAACTTTTCCATTGAAACTCTCGATGTTAATAGCGACGGTACATTAATTGCATCTTCTTCGCACAATAATGATATCAAATTTTGGAATGTACAATATTTTGAAACATTAAATGTCGCCGAGCGTGTGAGAGGCGGAAAACAGAAACAATTAAAGCATAATCTTCCAAGTAGTAAAATTGATGATGCATCGAACTTTTTTTCAGACCTTTAATATAGAAATAAAACTAATAATTTATGTGAAATGTTGTATATTTATTATTAAAATTATAATTTTAAATGTAATTATACATAGAAAGTTGTCGAATGTATTGTTCATGAAATATTGAACACTGATTCACAAGTGATGATTAGATGACATGTTTCCATATACAAGTTTCATCTTAATCGATGACTTAAATACCATACATATATTGACCATACAATGAAAAATTGAACACTGTATTATATTTGCTTAAATATATGAATAAAATTTGATATAAATAGCGTTATTTAATAAAACTGTATATTAAATTTGTATAAACCATGGTAATCAGGATTTAAATTTCATTGTCAAAATTTTATAGTAAACTTTACATAGATCGAAAACAAGTACAGAATCACAAATTTGAGCGTTTTGTCTATGTCTCTAAAACTATTATAAAGTACGCGTTGTGAAACACTAATGTTTAACCATTGCATTGTACATTTTGTAATTTACAGTAAGTTATTTATCATACAATTCTTGCTGTTCTTAAAACAATAATCGAAGTTTATTATGTAGGTTTATAAACAAGAGATTTCTTAAATAACGATAATAATTAATTGCATTTTTATCACTGCGATTACAAACGTTCTACACTTTTCGTACTTTACATTTCACGATTAAAAATCTCACATTACATCGTGAGATTTAAATTATATTTACTATTAAGTTATAATAAATAATACTGATATTCCATAACATTTAATATAAAAATCTGAAACTTGGTATAGAAATAAATAATTCGAATTTTAAATGCTTCTCTATAATCTCCCGAAACTAAGTAGATAAGTAATAAAGTAATAAAAGTTTTATTATACACCAGAAACTTAAATGTAGAATGTGTTCTTAACTTCAAAGAATTTAATTAAAATATTATTACATTTCACATTAGATTACTACTCCGAAATACGAGTTATTTAAAAAGTAAGACTCAGCTTTTATTATATTAAATTACAAATATGCTTACGTGTAACATTACTTTACTGATGATTCATTTGACGCAAGTATTCTGGCGTGTGATAATGTTGCTGCTGTGCATGAGCAAGCGAAGGATGAATAGGAGGCGGAAAACATCGAACATGTTCAACGCTTGTTGCATCACCGTCTCCACTCTTCAAATACTTATTTAATACAGCAAAAATTTGAGAATTTAATACTTGGAATCTTCTGATTCTATCCACCATTCTTTTTAAATGCTGTTTAATACGACCGAAGAAAATTCATTATTTATATATATTAACAAAACTAAATACCATTTACACATAAATACTTACAATTCCTTTAACATTTTCATCTTTACCATCTACGCGTTGTACTCTTAGAATGTGATAACAGAAATCAAGAGCCTCGAATCGCCTCTGTTGGCCAAGTAATACTATCATAGCACATCCAGCCCAATGTAAGCCTTCGCCAAATAATTCCCTATAACAAAAATAATGTTACACAGTTTTCTGTTCTATTTCAGTTAGAAGCAAAAGTCCAATTATAATACTAACTCAACAGTAAATTCTGTTTCTCCAACAGGAATACAATACACGAATTGTAATGCACTCCATAATCTATGAAATTCTGTGCATTCATCAACATTCATTACTCCGTTTGCAGGAGGTGGGCCAACCCAAATAGGATCATCTAAGAAACTGCGTAATCTACCGAGTACCACATCAAATATTGATAAACCGCAACACAGCCGTTCTCGTGTTAATAAATCACCCTCTCTGGCAATCATTGCTTGCTTAGCTGTACCCAGTTTATCTACATTCGGAACAATTTGTAAGGCTGCATATTTAGCTTCGAGTCGTTTCTGTTTAGTTTCCGGTTTCTCGCCCTCTTTACAGTAAGGACGAGGTAATATATTTTGAAATGGCGCTGCGTGTAATAGATCACAAACTTCTTCTTGTGATAAAGCTTGTTCCATTAAAAGACAGAACAAAATTGTGTTACCAAACTCGCGAAAATTATGAAAAAGCTCAGTTTTTGCATCAGGATATTGCACAATGTCGTTTAATTGGGCATGATAATATCCAAGAACACCCGGAGATCCGTAATCATATCTTGGCAATTTACAGACTTTTGGCATAGCTTCCATTAAGGTCTTAGTGAATTGATGCAAACTTCCTTGAATTAAAGACTTTACAATTTTTAAAAGTTCTTCCATTACTACTGCGATACCTTGATATCCAAGAAGTTTACACATCGTACGGAAATGTTGTGGGCCAACAAACCCAGAATATTGGCCATATTGTGTACTATATGCTAAGTTCAATTGTTTACTTCCCCAGAGATAGTGATGAGACATTTGTGGAGGCTTATCTCTGTGTACTGGTTGCACGAATTGAAGTCCACGACATTTTACAAACCTATTTGTTGCTGCATTATAACAATAATTTGGTAGAAAGTCGTAATTTAGCTCCCAAAACACATGAAGTGTAATTCTTCCGTATGGAGCTAGAACGTTATGATTTGCTTCTCGGAACATTGCGTCGTATTCATCCAAGGCAAGCCATTTACTTAAAAGTTTATGAGTAAGACGATTAACTTGTAGAAGTCCTTCTAATTCCACAACGCCTGTAATATCTCCAGATTCAAATTTACTAATTGCTAAATCTAACGATTTTTGCATATCTGCATTAATACGTTGGGTAATTAACTTGTTCAAATCAATACTACGTCCCAATAACTGAACATGTCTTTGTTTTAGTAAAGTTTCGTATCTATTAGCGCGCGGATATGCGAGTAAATAGGCTCCTTGAGCAACGCACTCTACTCGGAACCTTTTGTCTAACAATATACTTGCAGCTAGTTGCTTATAATGAGCAAAAATTTGTTCACTAAGCTTGTAAACGAACTGATCAAAACATAAATTCACCTCAGCTTCCACTTCATCATAAAGAAATTGTTTACGAAATATTGTCAGAGCATATAACGCGCTATCATTGTACAAATCAAGTGGATATAAAACATATTCCATCATTGATGGTTCTTTGCTTCGCAATATGTGATCGGTTAGTATCCATGGCATAGACATCTCGATAGGAAACTGAATACGTTTCTCCATGGTGATCAAGTCGCTGCATTCTTCGTTATGCTGATGACGTACTTGGCATTTCTGTATTTTTCGGCCCATGGTCATTTCTAGATAAAATTCTCTGTACCATAATTGAGATAAATCACAACAATCTTGTAATGATTCACTAAAATTTAAAAGATAGCTCCAATAAAAACTAGTTTTATGGAACTGATCAATTTGTACAAGGTATTGGCCATCGATGTCTTTTCTCAAAGTACGTTTACCACCGCTCTTATCGGCAATTAATGATTCTAACATAGTACGAACCATGTAAAGTTGCGTTGAAGAAGGTCCAACGTTTCTTCGTGGTACCTTTATACCAAATCCATTATCAGGATCCTTTTTTCCTTTTAATGCAGGATCCCCTAATGGTTCTACTCCAAAATGCCAATCTGCACAAGTTTCCCTTACAGATACAATTATACTTCTAATTAAATCTTTTTTATTTTTGATCGCCTTACGCAGTGGTTCACGGAGAGCCAGCTGTACGAAATCTTGTAATTCCGCGTATATATTTCTACGTATCGCATCGATAAATACAGTTTCCATACGCGCCATTAATACTTGCAATCCCTTAATCATCGCAATAACTTCTATTAGAGCAAATTTTTCTTCATCTGTGTAATTGTAACGTGTTGCCCTTTCGTATTCTTCAGCTTCTTGTGGACATTCTTTATTCATGTGATGATCAGTGGGGTGGAGAAGTTTCCAACTATAAAGTTCTGTTACCACACTTGTCCATTGGGAAAGTAATTGCAATCCACGTAATGCTAATTCAGCAGTTTCTCGATTTTCTGCATCACTTCCACATTCTTTGTATGTTGTAGTTACTTCATTACTGTATCTCGCTAATTCGCTAATGTATTTTACATGATCTTCCCTGATTTGTGGAAGATGTACCATAAGATCTGCTTGTGGACTTATACTATTTGATGACGAAGACAATGGCCACCTTGATGAATCAAAGTGTTTAGACCGTTTGATGTAATTAAACGGCGCGATTTGCATATCACCGAATAACGGTACTACTTCTAAATTTTTAAAGATTCGATCGATTCTGTCTAATTTTAATTTCTTTTTTTGATCTAGTTTATTGATATTGCATAGTTCACTGTCCATTAAGAATAAGCCAAATCCCATAACTTTTACCAACATATGCTTTTCATTTGGTGTCAAGTACATCTTAGTCTCAAACATATGAACGCATATATTAACAACATCTGCAAGTAACTCTTCGTATCCCGCAATTTTTTCCAAATTTTCTTTTACAGTATCGCGAATTTTATTTTGTGTGGCTAAAAACATCGATAAGTTTTGTGATTCTTGTAATGTCTGAGAGTCAGACATGACTTTAAGAAATTGAGCAGCTCTGAAATGAGAGAATAAACATATTTACAAGTCTAACAAATTTATTCCAATAAGTGGATTGATAAGATTAAAGTTACCTTCTGTATGTTGAATAATCATTTTTTACACTTGATTTCATATTCTTCAGTTCATCTAAAACTGCAAACATATTAATAAATTTTCCTAAAGTAAGCAAATATGCTTCAGAAACAAAGTCTTTCCTTTTCTCATGATGACACAAACGTTTCACTTCTCCAGAAAACCTTTCAATTGCCTTTCTCTAAAAAAATAGTACCATATTATTCCATAGATGTATGCAAATTTTCACACAAGGAAGGTAAAATGATTAAATACTCACTTGGAAATACATAAAATTTAATAACTTGTTTACTTCTGGTGCTAGTACCTCCACTGTCTTTTCATAAATTTCTACTCTATTTGGTTGTTCATTAGATTTTGGTTGAGGAATCGCACGAGAACAACATCTCCATGTGTATAGCATTACAGCATGTTTCAAACCTTCTTCCAATAATTCATTCTTCAAAATTAAAGCAATAATAATTATATTTTTAAATATAATAACAAAGAATAAAATAAATGCTAGTTATAGATGCATACCAAACTTGCATGAACTGTAGCTTCTTCAATGTATTTAGCAATTCCTGTAACAAAACCATTTCTGTCTTCAAAATTAGTATCAAAATTGGCTTGGTACACTACAGAACATGGTTGTGCTTCGATACATGGTTGCTCATCTGGTAATGTAAATTCATCGAGCACATCAACATTAGATAAAGCATCACCCAAAGTTACTTTGTCGGTAGCCATTTCAATCTAAAAGTAAACCTACATAAAAGAAACAATAATTTATACATTGTTAACAGCTATATCAAATTAAAAGTGGTATTGACAAATGGTATTGATTTTGTACAAATGGTTACTGAAAAATATTTCTAAAATTTGAAATTAAGAATTAAATATAAAGAGTGACATAAGCAGAGATGGTAAAAGTTAATTGTCACTTTTACATTAATTACTTACCTCCAGAGAGGTTATCTGTCTCGAAACTTAAATATTCTAGAAACTTGTATTTTTCTATGAAAAAATAAAATAGTTTTCAAATGTCCCACAATATAGTTAATACATTTCGATGCAATAACGCGTAAAATTGTGCCGTGAATGCATAGAATCGCAACTCTAACACTCCACCCCACCCTCGAACTGGAAAACAAAGGGTGATTATGATTATCCTATCAACAATACTCAAGCCCTATACATATATGTACAAATAGTTCAGCGTAGTAGTAAATCTATCCTTTATGTTTTCTGGATTTTGCTTGGTTCTCACTTTCTCTAATGTGTTATCTTTCCTAACGCTAAAAAATTCTTAAATTAAGTCAATTAGGAAATGAACAATGCAAGAAAATAGAAGGACCATACATTTTTGTCTATTATTTTTTGTCTATTCACTATAAACACCCAAGACGCCCGAAACGGCCCAAACCCAAGTTTGTAGTGACAATAACAATACTTCCCATTATTGGCGCTGTACCGATGGCACCACTGATACAATACAGTCCTGGACCTAGGAACTACGGAGCCCCATTTAGAAAATTCTACTAAAATGAATTGCTCTACCGCGAACATGTCTAACAATTAGACAAGGTTATCATTAAGAACCACCAATCTAATTTGTTTAGAGTCGGCCCTAACAAAGATACGAACATCAAAGATTCCGACAATTCTGTCATCATAGCAAAATACTTGACACAACTTGACATGAAAGTACTCTTGTGGTCACTGATAGTTTAGGTTGAATGGTTTAGATTTCGAATAAAGAACATTTTCTTAAGAAATTTTCGAATGAATTATTAGTAACTACAAGTGTATATAGTGTGGTGATGGTGAGTCTTCGATAAGAACTATTTAGATTAATAAATACATACATATCAGTTCTCCAGAAAAATATCTGGACATTATTCTGTAGCCAACAATTCGTAAACGATGACAAACGAAGTATCATTAAATATTTTAAATTTAAATTGTTGGTAAGTTTTTATTTGACTAATATAATAAACACTAATTTTAACAGTTTATATATATGCATTTAATTTAAGTATTTTTACGATAATTTTCTATCATTATTATATATAAGTACAACTAACATATTTGTCTGTTTAATACATTATCAATTGTAGGGGCATACCATATGTTTCTCAAAATAGAAAAGCTCGTATGGAAGCAATTGGAGAGAAATTTGCTGTTGAAAATTATGATATTATTTGCTTACAAGAAGTATGGTCTGTTAGAGATTTTAAAATGTTGAAAGCTAAAACACAAGAACAACTGGCTTATTCACATTATTTTCATAGGTAACTTAACAATATGCAATATTAAATTATATTGATTTTTTTTTAACTACATTTTAAATTCTTTGAATACATTTTAGTGGTGTCTTTGGATCAGGAATTTGTATCTTATCGCGATATCCTATTCAAGATGTAATGTTTCACAAATGGCCAGTGAATGGTTATGTGCACAAAATACATCACGGAGATTGGTTTGGTGGAAAAGGTATCGGACTTTGCAGACTTAAAGTTCACGATATGAATATTAATATTTATATTACACATGTAAGTTTACTTGCTGGAACCTTCATATTTTACTTATACATTCTTTAAAGAGTTAATAAATCATAAGGCATTTAATATTTTAGTTACATGCAGAATACAGTAGATATAATGATGAGTATGCAGCACATAGAGTTTTACAAGCATTTGATACTGCCCAGTTTATTAGGATGACTTGTGGTGATGCTGATTCTGCGATATTAGCAGGTGACCTTAATACAGAACCAGGAGATTTAGCTTATAGGCTCATATGTGGTGTTGCTGGTTTAACAGATGCTTGCTCAAATAATTTAAGTAATTCAGGGACCAACGAGTGTGCCAATAACAGTTATACTGGTTCAAAACTTGCAAGAAAATTACCAGAAGGAAAACGTATAGATCACATTTTGTACCTGGGTTCAAAGAATTATAAAGTATTTTAAATCATTTTTACGTAATATATACTACTTACTATTCGAGTATATTATTAACAATATACTATTTACAGATAGAGGTGATCAATTTTGAACATCCTTTCCCAAAACGTGTACCTCACAAAAATTTTAGTTACTCTGATCATGAAGCTATAATGGCAAGTTTTAAGTTCAATGTTGGTAAGTTAAGATGTGCAATTTTTTGTTAACTTTCATGAATTGTAAATACATCTTACATCTTTATTCGTTTAGGCGAGTCTCAACAAATTAATGTAGATATTAAAGACTCACTAAAAGAAGCTCTACATATATGTGAGACCTCATTGAAGAATATTCGTCGTCAACGATTGTGGTATTTACTGTTTGGTTGTATATTAATTGTACCACTCGTTTGGTCTATGGGATTGGATTGTTCCATTGCATCTATAGGCGCAAGCATTGGACTCAATATAGCCCGTATATTTTTAACTGGAATACTATGCTACACTTTATTCATGAGCACTATATGGAATAGTGTAGAAAAGAATGCTTTAACGGCCGGATGCTTGGCAATCCAAATACATTTAAGTAATTTAAATAATTAAATAGGAATATAATTAATAGGAAAATAATTCATAGGATAATATAATTATATAATTAACTTAAAATTTTGACTTCCCTCAATAGTTCAGTCAAAAATTTCAAACGATATTGTCATTTATAACAAAGATATATTTTCATATACAATGAATCTTAGCATTTTTATACATTAATATTTCCATTATCATATAAATATAGGACAATAATCAAACTACATCGTTTAAACGATAAATAATGAGTCATAATTGCATATAATGTATCAATAATTTATATGTGATAACGCTCTAAATTACACAATTTTAGTCATAGCAATAAAATATTCATATTTATTTTTCAACTAAATGTCATGTTAACCAAAAAAGTCAGAGTTTCTGAAATATTCCAAATTTGAAAGTGAATTATTGAATATTATTTAAGACATTATTCCATTCACAGTATTTACTAACATTTAGCTCTTTAGTAATTTAATTCTAAAAAAAATGTATTACGACTTTATTAAATTGGAAAATAATGAATTTAATTAAAATTATTGGAAAAATAAAAATAAATTCCATTTCCTGAAAATTTGTTAATCTTTCGATTAATTTAAAATATTTGAATTTCTTTGTAATTTATTTCATATTACAACAAATTTCTACACAACACTTTTAAACAAATTTTTCAATAATTGTATTTTGTAATATTTAATGAAATTAATAGAATCTGTATAGCATTTAACTATTAAAAATTCTGATTATATTTGGTATTTATTTATTCCGTATCACATTTTTATATTGTATAGTATATATTATTGCAATATAAACAAATGATTATTGCCTATGAGATCTCCTACAAACTACATACTGGAGCAATATCTTTCAGTACAAATATATTTAAATATCGTGTAATATATTAACGTTATATGCTTTTATATGTATATATAAATTTTTCTACAATTGATTATATACAATATAGACCTTCTTGAGCAAAGAGGCTCCTAATAAATAAAAGGTGTATATACGAATGTATATATAATTGACTATGTAAATTGTACCCAAAGGAATTTAAATAGAAAAGCATTGCGTTTCACATGTCATCGTAATATTCACGAATATATGCTTCAGTAGGCAATAGTGCTAAAAAAAACTACAATTATGGAATGTAAAAACAATGTAGGCACTCTTTGGTTTTTCCAAATTCAAGGTAATTGTTCAACATAGTTCTTTGGGACCAGTCCTGTCTTGCCATTTAACGTACCTTCTAACCATCCTGGCTCCAAAGAGGCCTTTACTGTAATAAAAAATTAATTTTTAGCGCAATTTCTATTTATATCCATATGTTACACATTTTTTCATACCATTTGTAATAATTTGATTCGGCTCAAATGATAATTCGCCATCACATTCTGCCATACAAGCATATAAAGTACGAACTCTCCTAAAAGAAATATGACTGTTCATTGATACTATCAATATCACAATAATAATCTATAAAAAAGCAAGTCACAATATACATCTATACAATTAATAAAACGTATGCATTTACCAAATACCAGGTACTTGCCCAGGACTTGAACGTCCACTACTAGGGGACGTATTAACTCTACAGAAAAAATATATTCACATTAAACCCATGTAAAACAAAAGAAATAAGTTATGATTTGGTTTAAGAAATCAATAACAATTAAGAACTTACACAGATACTGATGGATTACTTCGCTGAGCGTAACTCGACGGATAATGTAGAGGCATCATAGAACCACGTTTTTGTTTCACTGGCAAGTCAGTAAATGAGTGTGGGTCAGATGCAATTGATTCATTTGAACTACTCGTGTTACCACTCGTTGATACTGAATTTCATATAATATTAACATTTACTAAACGATAAAACGTGCATATAAATAGAATGTATTTTCAAAAAGAATTAGAATAACCTTTATCCGGCGAATGATACGTAACAATCGTGTTATTCAATTTAATACGTGCGCTTCGATTGTCTAAATATATTGGCATTCTATGGCTTGTGTGTTCGGTTTCTTCGAAGTCTCCATTTTTTAGGTCATCAACAGAGGACGACTTAGTAACAACCGATAATGGACCGTCATAGTATGATCTTGTAACGAGCTAGGAAAATAAGTTATGATTATTGTATCGTATAACCACTAAAGTAAACATGTAAACTTACATGTGCATGTGGCGAAGATACAGTAGTGTGCATTGGATGTCTTACAAACGAAGTGCCATTTCCAGAGGACGTTGAACCATCATCTACAACGACACGTTGTGATTTGGAAGGAGCAGTAGTTTGTGGAATTTGCGTTGACCGCATATCTTGTGGTGGGCCAGCAACTATTCTGTCGCAATTTTCAATTAAAATTTCAACTACAATGTTATAGAACTTAATGTCCATTATAGAGGCTACTGTTTCTTCCTCTGGTCGTAATAAAGACGGACCAAAACATACGGCCAAGTTGCCAACAGTCATTAAATTTTTATCACTTTTCTTCGCCACACTGTAAACATAATTTAATTATATTTACATATTACAGTTTTCTTAAATATACTTTACACCACCATTTGTTATAAATATAATACAATACGTATCCTTACCGACAGAGATGTCTAATAAGAAGGATTAACATATCGTAATTTGCTTTCGGTAATCGGTAAACGAGACTGTGAATGTCATTTATTCGTGCTTCTTTCATTTCTTGTTCTATTAAAAGTAATAATAAAAATAATAATATTTTCGTAACATGTAATAACTGATATACGTAACACCAAATAAAAATAACAGTTTTAATCTGGAGATTTCAAATAAAACAATATTATAAAGAATACCTATACGCACTCGCAGCTGAAATAAAACTATTGTAGTATCGGAAAGTCATTAACGGTTCAGATAATGTCCTCAGATAGGTTTTCAGTGCAC